TGTATTGGAAGGTCTTGATATGTTTCTTTTTATGAATGTAATCACAACATATTTATATGGGATCCAAACAATGATATTTATATGATAATCATTGAAGGATTTAAGATACCTGAAACGTATAATCAAAGTTCTCGAGAATTGTATTCAATAAAGTTATAGAGATCATTATATTGATTAAAATAATCAGGATGAATGTTGTATAATCGTCTTAGTGGATATTTGTTGAAAGAATAATATCAAAATAATCCAATTTGTTTTTGTGTTTTATAAAAAATCAAAGTCGGGATTTGTCATTATAACTGTATATGTTGATGATTTGAATATAATTGGAACTCATGAAAAGCTTTTAAAAACTATAGAATATCTTAAGAAAGAATTTGAGATGAAAAATATTGGGGTAAAATTTTTTTTGCCTTGACTTGCAAATTGAGCATTTAGCATGTGGAATATTTGTTCATCCCTATACAAAAAAAAAGTTTTAAAAATATTTTATATGGATAAAGCACATCCGTTGAACAATTCAATAGAAGTTCGTTCACTTGATGTGAACAAAGATAGTTCACTTGATGTGAACAAAGATATTTTCGATCTTGAAATGATAATGAAGAACTTCTTAGTCTTGAAGTACCAATTTTAGTGCAATTGGTGCACTTATGTATTTTGCAAATAATACAATGCCAGATATAGCATTTTCAGTAAATTTATTAGCTAGATATAGTTTTTCTCCAATAAAAAGACATTGGAATTGAGTTAAGCATATACTATGTTATCTTATAAGGACAATTGATATGAGTTTGTTTGCTCTAACAAATCAAATTTTGATCTAGTTGGTAATGTAGATGCTGGATATTTATCTGATCCACAAAAAACTAGATCTCAAATAGGTTTGTTGGTTTTTTGACCCTTAATATCAAATTAATTAATTTTAATTAATTAATTAATGTTTTGATGATAACAAACATAATTTTTATTTATTGATAATTTTAGTTTTTTTAAAGTGTCCACAACGTAGAGTTCGTTACAACGATTCTAACGATTATTGGATCATTCAAATCGGAACTCAGACGGTGAAGTTGCGATCGAAACAAGAAAGGAAAATACCCGAGAAAGTGACGTGGACAATTCGTAGGTTGACAAATGACAAGCCTGTTTTGTTAATATATATATAGAAAGGGAAAAGAAAAGAAATGGTAAAAAAAGGGTTTTGAAAATTTTTACCGTTTCTCACACACATATATATATAAAATTCAAAATCACATTATTATATATATGTATTATTTTATTATTATATAATTCTTAATTCATTTTTTTTAAATTTATCTCAACCCTTCATTTTTTAATAATTAAGATTTAATGGTCCAAAATTAAACTTGATTTTTTTTTACCATTTTCTTCCGTCTATTTAAACTCAACTTCTCCTCCAAAATCATACAATTTCTTTTATTCTCAATCCTTTATAACTTCAAAATTCTCATTTGCTAATCTCTCCAAATTTCAATTTTTCTTTTCATCTTATTTGTGAGAGAAATTTTTTGTTGTGAGGATGAATTTTTGTGAGCTCAAATTTGTACATGTACTCTATTTGAGAGTTTGTAAGTATGTTTCGAAATTTCCAACTCATTGTAACGGTGTGATCCTCACCGTGGAGAGAATCATCTTTGCTCTTGTGAAGAGTAGGGTACCGGTTTGACTCCTACTGGGAAAGAGTCAGAATTTCAATTTACAACCCAAGAGGTGCTTGAGAAGTGGAGTATGACAGTTGTGCCGAACCACTATAAAAATTTCCGGTGTCAAATTTCTCTAACTCTCTCTCTTATTTATTTTTGTAATTAATCTTAGAATTTTACTGTTTGCTTTAAATTTCTCTTGTTTGCGTTAGAATTTATTTTATCTTACTTTTTTAAAATTGCATATCTCAAAAAGTGTATTATTTTTGTTTAAATTGGGCCAATTTATTAAAAAGTTTATATTTTGTTAATTAAACCCTATTCACCCCCCTCTAAGGTTGCGATACCAATCCAACAAGGCTATCTATTTACATGTGGAGGAACTGCTATATCATGACGATCAGTGAAACAAATCATAACAGCCACCTCCTCAAATCATGCTGAAATTCTTGCAATTCACAAGGCTAGTCGAGAGTGAGTATGGCTAAGATCAACGACTTAGCACATTTGTGGAGCATGTTGTTTATCTTTTAAAAGTCTTCCAACAACATTATACGAAGACAACACAACATGTATGTCCCAAATAAAAGGAGGATATATTAAAGGAGATAGAACAAAACATATTTCATCGTAACTTTTCTACACTCGTGATCTTTAAGAAAATGACGACATTATTGTACAACAAATTTACTCAAAAGATAACCTAGCAGACCTATATACAAAGCATTATTTACTGCAATATTTAAAAAACTCGTTCACAACACTGGAGTGCGGCGACTCAGAGATCTCAAGTGATGTTTACCTGAGGGGAGCAAATATATTGTACCTTTTTCGGTTTATTAAAATTATATGAAATATATATATATATATATAGTTTTTCTTGTTTTAATGAAACATACTACACATATATATAATGGGCATCTAAAGAAGAGTATTTTATAAAATTAATATTTTAGATACCCATTCAGGACCATATGTTTCTTTCTTCCTCTAACATGTGTCCTTTGCTCTCTACATTTTACTCTCTTTCTCTAAAATTTTCCTTTTTTATCTTTAACTTTTCTTTCACTAATTTTTTTCTTTAAATATTTTTGTTCTCTCTAAATTTACTATCTTTAAAATTTCTCTTTAAAAAGTTTTTTTTAATCTATCTAAACTTTAGTTATACATTAACGATGACAAAATCAGGCTTGGGTACCCGCTTCAATAACAGAGAATTCATTTCCCACAATGCCTCAATCCCATCCCAAATTCCATTTTTTACATAATAAATATATACTTTATTAACTATTTTACTAAATTAAGAATAAATATTAAACATTTTAAAAAATAGTTGTTTATCTTTGTAATAATAATTTTGATATATTTACTACTCTTTCTTACTTTTTTAAATTATAAAAATAATTAAAATATTTATTAAACCGATAATTTTTCCCATCTCCATACCCAAACGAGCTAATATTCCTCAACCAGAGCATCTCGATCCTCGAAATCAGAGAATGGGGTGGGGACAGAGTGATATGAATCTCCAACATATTCTAAGAAAAATAAATCAACTCAAACTTCATTCAAGACAAAAGCATCAATTATGGAACTCAAGTTCATGATATTTTAAATGAGGCTTTATTTAATCCTATATGGTTACAAAACTCTTGGTTTGCTGATTGCAATATTAATTCTCGAATTTATGGTGTCTCTTTATGTTTTTAAGTTTTAAGACTTTTCATTTACCTTTTTTTGTTACAATTAGTTAATAGTTATCTATGACATTGATTGGCTTGAGTGTTCCAACCCTTCTAATGATCCTATGTTACTTTAGGGACTATTTTAGAGGTTATATATAGTAATGTATGTCAAGTTTGAGAATATATAATTGGGATGTAATGAAATTAGCCTTTGATTCTTTTAGCTAAAAGTTAATGTATTTTGTCATCTTGTGATAACTTGCATGTTTAGGATAATTCAAATAAAATTTGATCTATCTTGCTTGTGGAGTGATTTGAGTCTCAAACAGGAACAAGTTTTCTTACCTTAAGATATTCGATAAAAAAAGTAATCCAGTTTTTATGAGTTTTGTTTGTTAGCAAGGTTCTTAAGTCAAAGTCTCAAGAGTTCTTAACACATGGACTAAAAATATCCACGAGGACAAGGATGGAAAAGCATGCCTGACTCCTGCCTCATATTATTGTCATCTTTACCTAAATTTTCTCTCTCTAGCATATCTCTTAACACCTTTCTAACATTTTTAAATTAGAAAACGAAGAAGGATTATCAAACATGTTTGGTTTTTTATTTTTAAAAAACAAAAAAGAGTTTATAAAACCTATATGGTTTTTGTTTTTCAAAAACTGAAAACTAAAAATAGAAAACAGAAAAATCAAAAACAAAAAATAAAAATCATTACCAAATATATATTATTAATTTCAAAACTTTTCCTAGATTTTGAAAATGTTTTTAAGCTGTAGATGTAAAACAAAGAAATACATAGGTGGTGAAAGTAAAAGTAATGTTCACAAGTTTAATTTTCAAAAACTAAAACTAAAAATCAAACAAGGCCCGAAGAAAAAAAATTGTATTTGGTTAATAAAATCAAACCGAGTTCGCTCCTTATTCCTCCAACAGCTACTCCAACCACCTGAGCCAACTTCAGTTTATTGAAAACGAAAAATCAATGCCAACATGAACCTGGCCTAAGGTATATTGCTTTTCTTCAAAAACTCAAGATTTAATTACACATTTTCATTTGTGGTATTGGAAATGCTAAAAATGTGTGAAGATGAAAGGGGGTTTGGGAGGTTGGGTGGTGCGAAATTGGGATGGTGTTATTATCCTTGCGGATAATTAGTCCGTGGGCACCCCAAAAAGTGTGAAGATGTTGGAGACCTTGGCCATATTGGGGGAATGGAGAAATTTGCTTGGGCGGGTGGCTTACCCAATTTAAGTAGAGTTTGATTCGGTTGAAGTGGTGAAATTGCTTTGAAGGGAAGAAGATGATCTCACTGAAATTGTATGGGTTATCGATGAAATCTCGAACTTGAAGAATCCTTATGGTGTTTTCTGTTTTAGCAAGGTGGATAAATATGGCAATTTTTGTGCCTACTCTCTTGCGCCTCTTGAGATTGAGGAAAGTAATTGTTGGAAGTTCAATATCCCAGAGTGGCCGACTATCTTGGTCCCTCGAGATTGTTCTACTATTTCTCAAACGAAGTGTTGGTTTTTTTTTTTTTTTTTAAAAAGAAATGCTAAAAATCAATTTTCAACCGGTTCGGTTGACATATTGGACATCGGTTCGGTTGTACAAAATCACCTTCACCACTTGAATGAATTGAAATAAATTATTCTTCCCTTTAAGTTTAAACCTAAAAAAGAATCTCCAGTTTCCTAAAACCCTAGCCATTTCATCGTGTACCAGGAACTTTGCAGTGGGGTTTTGCGTCCTCCATCAGCGACTCATCAGATTTTTCAAATCGAGCTACCGAACCCGATTAAAGACAGAGCTACGGATCTATAAATTTTTCATTGGCGGTTCATACGAAGTAAGTTTGTCCGAATCGTCTACTCTGCTAGTTCTAATCGAATTTTTCGTTTCTGGTGGGTAATTGAGTTTTTGGGATGTGGTTTTGCTTGATTCAGAGTCTCAATGGCTTCTCCTAACGATGTGCCGTCGGCTTTGGACAAGGAACAGGTTGGTTTTTCTGTCTTTGCGAGGTTTTTAATTTTCTTCTCTCGTTGTAAATTTTAGCATTGATTTGGGATATTGGTATTGGGTTCAGTTCATTACAAGTATCCCAGATCTAGTGTGGAATCTGTGTTCTTTTTGCGGCGGGTTCCTCCAAATTGGACAATTAAATTTTCATTAATTTCAAGTCTGCTCTCATGAGGCAACTGGTGTTCACGCATTAATATGTTCATCTCTGTCCATTTAAAGTGATGAATATGTTGAATTTATTAGTTTCTGCCAAAATCTTACCATGCAGATATATCTGAAATGTAGTTATAAGTTCACAATTACCATCATAAATTGATTTTAATTTTTAAGTTTTGCATTTGAGCAGATATTTGGTATGGCAGAAAAGGAGATGGAATATCGAGTTGAACTGTTCAACAAGTAGGTTTTATTACATTACTCTTTTTTTTTTTAGCTTTTTAATAAAAATATTTGGAAAATGAGAGATAACATAAGCCTATCATTGAAAACGTTAAATTCTTGTATTCTATAACTTTGTCATTGTGTCCTGGGGAAAGATTCTAAATCTATCGCCTTCTTGAGCTTCATTCTTTTACCTTCTTTGTGGGGCTGACCTATATGCCTTTGGTTTTCTGTCTTTCAGGCTTACACACACATGTTTTAACAAATGCGTTGACAAGAAGTACAGTCCTCTTCTTGAAATCCTTTTCAATTTCTTTCGGTTGTAGTTTTGGAATTATAATCAATTATTTCTCATGTTAGTTCTATCACATGCATTTTTTAAATTATGCATGGTTTTTTGTCATTTAACAATTGCTCTCTTTTTCAGGTACAAGGAATCTGAGCTGAATATGGGTGAAAATAGTTGTATTGATCGCTGTGTTTCCAAGTATTGGCAAGTAAGCTGATTTCTACCTTTAAATATGCTCTTTATGCCTTTCAGTTTATGAGATGTACGTTGATCAAATAATACATGAACATTTGTATTGTATTCCATCTGATAAAATTCGAATTACAGTCTTTTGTTATGTCTGAAAGTACGGAGTCGGAGTCAAATTCATGAAGCTCATATTGTCCTTATTCATATCTTTCATAATATCATATTTAAATAAAATTTTATTGTTTTTTGAAGGAAATTTAGATGGATGTACCCGGTACGTTTTATGGTCCCTGTTATGTTTTTGTTCACTTGCTATCTTCACTTCCATACTCGTTATGGATATGGTAAAACCAATCATATTTGACTTCGAGTCAAGGATGTGCATTTGGCAAATGAAACAAGGCGTCTTTTTGATAAAATGGAAGTCATCGGCAATATAATTCACCTTATTATTAGCCTGGGATTTCTGGAGATTGTTAAAACACTCACTCCTGTCCAAAGTTTAGGAATTCATACAGATTTCATATTTTTCTTTTCTCACTACAGGATGGCTAGCTATGTTCTATATATTTTTTAATTCAGTGATGAACTCTAGACTCATAAATTAGTTGTTCCCTCGAAAATATTTATATGATAGGATTGTTTCTGTACTGTTTTGTGGGGGATTTGGATTGAGAGGGATAATAGCATCTTTATAAGGTGAAGAGATCTAGGGAGTATGTATGGTAGCTTATTAGATTTTAGTACTTCCATATGGGGTCAGTTTCTAAGTCTTTTTTTTATATAGAATGTCTTTGCTTGAACTTGCATTACCTTTCGTTGTTGACTACTCGACCCCATCTTAGTGATGAAACTTTTGTATTTCGTTTATTGTATTAATTCTTAGTTTGCCATACTTCAGGTAACCAATTTAATCGGCCAGCTACTCGGCTCTGGTAGGCCTCCAATGTGAATTGAATCGCAATCTGAATAATTGGTTTGGTGAGTTGGGAATGACAGAACTTTGGTTTATGCATTTTTTTGTCAAATTAATTCTCTCTATCTCACAAAATAACTTATTTTTGTTGTTCAAGAAAGCACTGATAAATGGCACATTCTAGTCAAATGGTATAGTTCACCATTTACTATGATTTTTATTTTTTTGTCTGGAAAATATGAGATTGAGTCGAGATACCATTTTTCCTTGCTCAACATCATACTACACTTCGGAGAACCAAGTTTCCTCGTAACTTTTGCCAATTTTTGAATTTCTGTGTAAAAATAAAGGTTAAACCAAATTTAGTTGGACTTTTCCTCTTGGACTTTCATTCGTCAGCTTTTCTATATATTTCGATAATTAATGTTTGAGATATATAAAATAAATGAAGTTATAGGCAGGGTTCTAAATGTTCGCCAGACAAGTCGACGACATGTTGAGGAAATATTGATTTTTTATTTATTTTTTTTGCCGTGAATCCCTAAGTGGTTGAGAAAATTTGGATCCAAATGGTGGCCTTCTAATTAGTTGAGATTTAGAGGGAGGTCTCTTGTTTTTCCAGAGAAATTTTGGATTGAAAAGTTTGGATTCGAATCTTTAAAAAATAATGATTTCTATTCTAGACATCTTTTCAGTTTTCTGTAAATTTAAAGCTTCTGGAAGAGAAAAAAGAAAAGTCAAAAATTGATATGGGGCATTTTCTATTTTTTTTAAAGAAATTAAAGTTAAATTCTTATCTTTTTGGTTAAAAAAGAATAAAACAAACCAACAAACGTTAAGTTAAATTTGAATATAAAAAATCTAACAAAATCTTAAAGAAATAGATTATAAGAAATTGATTTAAGAAAAACAAATTTTAAATTAAATTTAACTAAAGGATCGATTTAAAAAAATTTAATTTAATTGATCAAATCTACAAACAAATAAAAGAAAATCAATTTAAATAATTATTATTAAATTTGAATTTATTAATTCAAATAATTTTTATATATGTATATGAAATGACATTTCCATAAGTATATACTTGTTAGTTACAGGTTAATTTAACTATGATGAGAAGTCTTATTTATTAATTCAAAAAAATTGCATCAATATCTATAATTTCTGTGATTTTTTTCGAAATATTTATCGACATCGACATATGGATAGGTGTCAACTCAAACTCACTCTGTGTTAAAACTTTCACAAGGACAGGTAATTAACATTGACGATTATGCTTATAACTTTTTTATTAAAGAAAAAAGTATTTGTATTCAATTATTTAATTTAAATAATTAAATTTTAAATATTTAATATTGATTTAA